GGTGTGCCCCTGAGCCAGCATCCCTGCCATCGATAAGGAGTTGTCTCCTCCAACTTCCCCCCTTATCTCACCTCACTTATCTGCTGGCACATTCCAGCCAGGTTACCCATTACTCTGATATTTCCACACCGAACCCTACACAGGGAAAGTGAGGCAGGGAAGGCAGTGAGGAGGGAGAACAGGGTTTGGGCTGGGTTATGTGGCTCAGCACCTGCCAGTGTGTCCCTCACACGGGACTACAGACAATTAGTGCTGATTAACAGATGCTGCTGCTCTAATTACAAAGTGTCTCGCCAGCCTTAAGTGAGACTGATGCGTGACAGCAAAAGAGGGCACTTTGGGCTGTGTGGGAGGAGAGCAGAGTAGAAGAGCATCTTACAGAGAGCCTGGTCTAAGTCAAGGTGGCAGCGCCCCTGCCCTTCCTCTCCACTTCCTCGCTGCCCAGCCTGTGGGACTCGCTGCTGCCTGAGCACAGAGGATGTCTGATGGGCTGGGAGGGCTGTAGCCAAGCCAGCTTTGGGAAGGGTACCCATCCACTTCAGGCTGCAAATGAATTATTGCCAGGCTGGAGAGGAAGCTTTGCACCCTCCTGCGTGCTACGCGGGGCCAGATGGATCGGAAGTTGCTTTGTGTGTTAGACACAGTGAGCGGCAGAATACTGGACTAGTTAATCCAGGGATCCCAGAGGTACTGGAAAATCCTACTGAGAGTGGGGAGGATAGGATTTTGTCACTGGGGCTCTGGCAGACATAGCAAGGAATATGATAAGGTTGCTGCAGCTGAGGGGAGGCACCAGAGGAGAAGTTAGTATCAAAACTGCTTTAATAAAGACAATAATAAGTGCGTGGGATACAGAGTGGAGGCAGAAAGGATATTCCACAGATGTGGGTCTTTGGTCTGGAGCTTGTGTTACAGTCTCGAAAGCGGAGGATGGGAGGACCTTGTTCTGAGAGACAGGGTCCCTGTCCTGGAGGGAGCAGGGGTGCCAAAGGCTGATCCTGCTGGGTGCCAGTGGCCGGAGCTGGGGACTCCTTGAAGCTGCTGCCTGAACTGGCTTGCTGCTGCTGGCCAGCATGAGGCAGCCACCCAGGAAGCCTGGGGAAGATGGGCTTGCCCGTAATCTCGATGGCCTGACTGTGAGTGGCACTCCCATGTACAACACGCGAGCATGCTGGAGCCTCTTTATTCTGCTCTGAAGAGCACCCTCCCAGAAGCAGCCAGGCGGTGGGTGTGCTGCGTGGGATCGGAGCCTTGCAGCCATGGCTCAGCGTCTCCCCCCACCGCACACCCCCTTCTGTCCCAGAGAACAAGGGGGGTCCTGTGAGGGTCCCTCCGGTGACCTCAGCCACTGAGCATCTTGGCTCCGTGCTGCGGCACAAAGGCACTTCTGTCAGGGCCAGTTTGCACGCGGGGCAGCGTGGGGGGCAGCTCGTTCCAGGGCGGCCGCGTCGCCCAGGGCTGCTCAGTGAGGGACATTAGACATCCTTCACGTGTAGCCCTGGGAAGGGGCACGCTGGAAAGAGGGGTGTGTGCTTGCGTGGGGAATGGCGAGAGGAGGCGAGGATGGAGAAGAGGCAGCACAGACTGAGTGGCTGCAGAGTGGGAGTCTCCATGTTCTGAGGTGGGGGGAAAGGAAGAGATTTTCGGGGCTCGAACTGTAGAATTTGGTGACCTGACAATCCCACCTCTACCTCCAGCCAGCCAAGAAATTTCTCCCCTCCCTGCTGCAAGGGGGCAGGGGTCAGAAACAAAGCCATCCTAAGTGGCACTCGGGAGTAGGAAGCAAGTGGAAAGACCCTTGCGATTATCTCTGTGCATGCTCTCACCTCCTGAACACTGAGCTCATGGCTTTTCTGGGGGGAGGGCAAAAGAGAAAAAGCCCAGCTCTGTGGGTTTGCCTGCCTCTTGAACCCTCAGCTGACCTCCCCTGGTAGACAGTTGTGCTATATGGGAGGGTCTTGCACCAGCTGGAGCTGAGGAGACCCCCATCCCCTACATGCCAGAGCTATTGGTGGGAGTATCTCTGGGAGGGCATCTGTGCCAGTGCAGGGGGTGGCTGGGGACTTTGGTGGCAGGACAGGGCACATCCCTGGACATGGTGGTGGGGCCAGGCTTGGGGATGGGAGAGACAGTGCCAGGGGCAATGGAATGGGGTAGGAAGGCTTTTAGGGTTTCTTTGGCACATGGGAATGTCCCTTTGGCATCTAATGGCAGTGAGGCCAGGGGAGGGCTGCAATGCCTGGCCCTGTGATGCACAGCCCTCACCAGCCCTCCACAGCAGCCTGGCCCAGCCCCGGGGAGCCCTCAGGGAGACAGGCTCTCCTCCTGTTTCCCACTGCCTCCCAGTACCCCCAGCTTGGCAAGGACATTGCCCACTGGGTCTGCTGGCAATGCTGGCAGGTGAGGGTGGAAGACAGGGAGGAGGATGAAGACCCCAGCACCGGTGCCTCTGGCAGGGATCCATGATGGGAGGGATGGCCATTCACACCTTGACTTCATCGTCCTCCTCCTCCTCATCGGCGTACTCAAAGGAATTGCTGCGCCTGCCCCCGGCACCAGTGTACCCCTCCTGCAGGCTGGAGAACTCAGCCGCCTCCTCCTCCTCTTCTTGGTTCCAGGTGGCCTCGGGGGACCGGCTCCCCCCT